CAACGATGATGGATATGACAGTGGTGATGACGCTGATGCTGATAGCGATTGGAATGGAGATGGGGACGACACGACGCCGACGACGACGATGGTGATAGTGACGGAACTGATGGTGATGATAATGACATTTGCAACGACGACTCTGGCGATGATGATGACGATAGTGCTGGTGCTGGTGATGGGGAAAGTGTCCGCACGCAGAAAACTGACGAGGGCTACGACATCGACGATGATGTCAATGACTGCGGCGGCGATGTCCAAACGATGGTGATTATAATGATGACGATGATGATGATGATGATGATGATGATGATGACGATGATGATGATGATGATGATGACGGCGATGATGATGATGATGGTGGTGGTGATGATGATGATAATGATGATGACGGCAGTGATGGCGCTAACGCTGATGATAGCGATTGTGCCACTGGGGATGAAGAGAAAGTGCGCGCCCCGAGAACGCCAGACATCCAGGCCTGTTATAAATGTAGGCGATTGGGTTTCGTATGTCTTGGCTCTATCTGTGCTGGCATGGTCAGAAAACCAATGGTGTTGATGGTGGTTCAACGTTTTGGGCGTGCGCGCTCGACAGGCCCGCATGGTGTCGTTCCCCAGAACGGCTAGAGCAAAATGGTTGTTAGATGTTTTCGCCGGATGTGAGCGTAGATGTCGGGGATTTTCTTTTTGCAAGCGTTGCTGCCAACCATGTCTTGACCATGTTTCCACACAAGCCGCGGGTTTTACCATTTTTACGTGCGCGCGCGGCGGCGCGCGCCATTTAGGGAGCCCGCAAAGGACGTACGCGCCCAGCTATGTACATGAACGCGAGACTGGCCGCGTTATACGAACATTTGCGCAGTGCGTACTCTCGAAACCAGCGTGGATTCATGTACATGTACGTCCTTCTTTCGCTCCTGACAATTGCCCTGAAACGCATGTGTGCCCTTTTTATACGAACTTCTTGTATCAACGCATGTGCACTGCATGCGGTTTTGTAGGAAATGGCGGGGCGTTTTTGGCTCTCTTCGCTCGTGTATATCCATGCACATCAGAATCAGATGAACGACTGTGCCTAATAGCGATGAAACGTCCATGCGCGGATGGGGGATGGGAGACACTCCCGGCCCTGGTGGTGGTGGGGGGGGGGAGAGTCCAAGCACGCAATCTTTCCTGGGAAGAAGAACCAATCTGAAGAGCTTGCAGTCGTCCGCTCCGTGGCTCGTGCACACATCCCACCCTGCCCGCCCACCTTCACATCCTACCTGCCCGCCTGCATGCGCACGCAGGGGGCCCGGGCGTGTGGCCCGCACGGTCGCCCTGGACGCATGCCGCAGTGCACAGGCTGAGCTCGTGAGGTTACGCGCGGGCAGATGCCCGAACCCCTTTTGTTAACAACAATTTGTGCTTGACAATTTGTTTATGGGCTTGTGTCTTGGCATGCTCAATGAAATTGTGGTTGTGTAAAGAATTCGAAAAAAAAACCCGCGCGGGGGGCTCAACCGTGTTGCCCGCTCGGTACCGCTAGATACAGTCAACTGAAACACGCGGTTGTTAGACCCAAAGCGTTGGCGACGCATGGCTTTTTCCTTTATTGAATCGGGATGGCTGGAACGGTATGAGCTGTGTTTGCTCTGCCCCAGAAGCCGTGAATGCGATTAACTATGTAATATTGCTAGCAAGTGCCAGCCAGCTTAATGACGCGCAGATCCTGATCATGCAGATCCATGGATCAGGCGGGCGCGCGATTATGATATCGCGAGAAATATCCAACAGCTGTCATTGAACAGACGTCTAACACTATGCGCGAACATTTTGCGTACACATATCTGCACATGTATACATTAGAACGTGTGGTTTTGAGCGATCTCGACATGCGCCCGGGGGGGCGCGCGTGTGGCCCGCATGGTGCAGAACCACAGGGATGACGGGGGAAATCTGGAAATCATGTTTTTAGAAAGTGCGCGATTGTTTCTGGAAGGCTTCGACATGCGCGCGGGTTCGCGTGCGAGCGCGTTTGGCCCGCATCGTCCGACTGGCCAACGAATTCGGTTTCCTTTGGCTTTGGCCAGTGCGCGCACAATACATGAGGGGTCTTTTTCGACTCCTGGGAGGGCTAAAAAACGACACCACTCACGAGGATTCTGGCCCCGACGGGGGGGGGGAGAAAAAACCCTCTCCTCTTTCTTGAAGCCAAAAACATTGATTGTACTACGGTTTTGGCCCCATTTTGGCCTTCTGAGGGGGCAGCGCTCATTAAAGCTCCCCTCTTCTTTCAAGGCAAAATCATTGATGTTACGAAGGTTTTGGCCCCATATTGCCCTTCTGAGGGGGCAGCGCTCATTAAAGCTCCCCTCTTCTTGGATCGATTCCCTTCAAGATGGCCCCAAGAAGCGCCCAGGAGGCACCAAGAGGCCCCAAGATGGCCCCAAGAGGCCCCCAGGAGGCCCCCAAGAGGCCTCCAAGAGGCCCCCAAGATGCCCCCAAGAGGTCCCCAAGAGGCCCCAAGAGGCTCCCCCGAGGCACCCAAGACGCTCCTGGAAGCCCCTGGGGCCGCCAAGAGGCCCCCAAGACGCCCCAAACGGCCTCCAAGAGGCTCCCAAGAGGCCCGAAGAGGCTCCCCCAAGGCACCCAAGACGCTCCTAGAAGCCCCTGGGGCCGCCAAGAGGCCCCCAAGACGCCCCACAAGGGGACGAGGTGCCCGAACGCCTCACGCCACGAGGAGCCCGAACGACTCACACCAGGACGAGGGGCCCGAACGACTCACATCACGAAGAGCCCGAACGACTCACACCAGAAGGAGGGGCCCGAACGACTCACACCAGGACGAGGCGCCCGAACGACTCACACCACGAGGAGCCCGAACGACTCACACCACGACGAGGGCCCCGAACGACTCACACCACGAGGAGCCCGAACGAGTCACACCAGGAGGAGGGGCCCGAACGACTCACACCAGGACGAGGGGCCCGAACAACTCACACCACGAGAAGCCCGAACGACTCACACCAGGACGAAGAGCCCGAACGACTCACACCACGAAGAGCCCGAACGACTCACACCAGGAAGAAGGGCCCGAACGACTCACACCAGGACGAGAAACCCCAAACGACTCAAACCACGAGGAGCGCTTTCTCTCCCTCCTCCTCCGCCTCGTCCTTCTCCCGCTCCCACCACAAGGAGGATGTACAAGGAGGCGGGAGGAAGGAGGAACAGGGGAGATATGCGGGGGCAGGCGGAAACACGCCTGAAAAACACGACTGTCGGCATGCTTCGCAAGAGTTGCTGTTTTGAGATGGGCTGGTGGGGATACGCGAAGCGTAAAGAATTCGATTTCCTTTGGCTCTGGCCAGTGCGCGCAGAAGACATGACATGACCTCATGGATGTTCGAATCTTCTTGGCGGCATCTGCTCTGCATCGAAAGCTTGCCTGGGAAGGTCCTGCATATGGTATTCGAGGCCGGTGGCAGCATCGCGTGGCGGTCTCGGGTCGTGGCCCGCGGCCTGTGGTCTCTGCCCGTGGTCTCTGCTCGTGTTGTCTGGTGTCCGTGGCCCCCGGTGGAGCCTGTCACTGTACAGTGCGGTGGCAGAGCCCCAACGTCATGCCTGCCAGTGCAATGTGGTATCGTGCTCCTCTTGTATCATCGAAACTCTTTGGGGTGCTCAGCCATCAAGGGTGTTGTTGAAGTTCATAGAGCACCCATGGTTTGGAGTGCGGGGGAGACAAACCAATATACGAGGTGCAGAGTGTCCGCATTTGTGGAACCCTGTGGGGCGAAGACCATGGGTGGAGCCCCATGTGTGAAATCCGACGTAAGGAGCTGTATGGAACTGTATATCTGGAGCGCTGCGTGAGGAACCCTAAGTACTAAGTATGAGTGGGACCCAATGGACGGCAACGGTCGGAACCAACGGCAATAACCCCATGGCGGCAGCGGCCGGAGGCCGGCAAGCCAGGACAGTTGTTTAGAAACGAAAGCAACCCGTCGTGCAAGCACTGTGTGGGGACTTATTGCTCATCGCCCTAATCATTTCAAGCATTCGCCAATAACAACAAGGAGCACCTGTATTGTCTCCAACCGCGTGGCCAATCGCGGCGGCTGTGGCCTGTACAACGCCTATGGCTGTCATCAGCACGACCAACATCAGCCGACAGACATCACACACACATTCTGAAGCATAACGTGTTCTGGTGTAGTTGCTGGCCGCTCCCACACTGCTGTTAGAACTCCGTGCTCTTTTCTCAAGGGGACGTAAGACCCGGGTACAGGGGACTCGGAAATCCTCGACGAGGTCGTCAAACAAATGACGAGGCCGAGCCTGCATTTTGACGAGGCCTCCCGCTGCAGACATCCCACGAAACTCCTCCTCGTCAAAATCCGAGGCGCGGTCGTCAAAAAACGATGGCGAACCCGAGTCCATGCAAACCCGGGTCTTACGCTCCCCCGATTCTCGGGCGACTGCGGACCATCGAGCAACGGGCCCGCCCCACGAGTCCCAAGCAACCGGCGGGCGCACTCGCTCCTGGCCCCGCGGTCCGTGCCGGCTGCCCTCGCGAGGGCAGGCGCGGCGCGGCCCCCCTGGGTGTGTCCGGCTTCTTTGGTTCCATCGCCTGCCCCGGGGGCCCAGAGAGCAACGATTTGAGCCCGGACTGCGCACGAGGAGGAGGAGGAGGAGGAGAAGAGGAAGAGGAGGGGGAGGAGGAGGAGGAGGAGGAGGAGGAGGAGGAGGAGGAGGAGGAGGAGGAGGAGGAGGGGAGGAGGAGGGGGAGGAGAATGAGGAGGAGGAGGAGGAGAAGGAGGAGGAACTCGACCAAATCAAATCCTCCCTCGGCCTATTCACTAGAACACGTCTCCGCTGCCTCTGCGCCCTGCGTGGGCAAAACCTCCAATTCGCCACGTGGCGTCTCAAAAGGCATTGTCAAAGACGCTCGACTCTCTCGTCGTGTCAATCAACGACCTCTCGGCCTTGTGACTCGCCCTGCTGCCAGCCAGCGGCCTGGTCCACGAACATGGTCCAGGGCCTCAGTGTCTCGATCATTGCCCATCGCGGGTCGCGCAACGACAAGCTGCAATGCCATCTCAGGATGCGGCGGTCCAGCCGCACACAGCGCCGGGTCCCCTCTCTGCAGTAAGCACATCTGATAATACATCTTGATATGAGAGAGAGCGTGATCCACCGCCGCTTTACTGTGGGTCCCCCCCCCCTCCGAAAATCCCCCCCCCCCCCCCCCCTGCTGCAACCCCTCCCCTCCCCCCCACCCTTTCCCCCGGCAAACCCCCCCCTCCCCTAACCCCTCCCCCCCCCCCCCCCCCTCCCCCTCGAAAGCCGGGGGGGGCACTACCGGTTCGAACCCCCCCCCCCCTCGAAAACCGGAGGGGGGGTCACTACCGGTTCGAACCCCTCCCCACCCCCCCTCTCACCGCCAGCAAACGACTCCCGGTCCCTACCACCGTCCTCACCACATCCCCCACTGTTGTTCCCAGTTGTTCCCAGCCCACTGTCCTCACCACCACTGTCCCCACTGGTTCCACCACCGCCCCTACTGTCCCCACCAGTGCCACCACCACTGTCGCACTGTCCCCACTGTCCCCACCACTGTTCCCACCACGGCTCCACTCTCCCAACTTTCTCCACGGCCCCAACCACTGCCCGACTATCCCCACTGTCCCACTGACTCCTCCGCTGTCCCACTGAGCTGTCCCACTGTTCCCACCACTGTCCCCACCATTGTCCCACTGTACCTCTGTCCCATTGTCCCACCGCCGTCTTCGCCACCGCCTTCACCACTGTACCCTCCACTGTCCTACTGTTTCCACCACATTCCCACTGTCCCCACCACCACGGTCCCCACCACTGTCCCACTGTCCCCACTGTTCCCACCATTGTCCTCACCAGTGTCCCCACCACTACCGTCCCCACCACTGTCCCACTGTCCCCACCACTGTCCCGCTGTCCCCTCGCCACTGTCCCCACCACCACCGTCCACACCCCCTCGGTTTTCGAGGGGGGGGGGGGTTCGAACCGGTAGTGACCCCCCCCGGTTTTCGAGTTCGAGGGGGGGGGGGGGGGTTCGAACCGGTAGTGACCCCCCCCCCTTTTCATGATGAACTGGGGGGGGGGAGGGGTTCGAACCGGTAATGACCCCCCCCGGTCTTCCGAAGGGGGGGGGGGAGGGGTTCGAACCGGTAGTGACCCGTGACCCCCCCCGGTTTTCCGCCAGCAGCGGTAGAACACGCTCTTTCTGATATGAGAAGTCAAGGGGCACATCCTTCGTCGACTCTGAACTTCGCACCGTGCTCCAAGACTCTGCGGCCCCACCGGAAGATACCACATTCTCGTGTTGCATCCGCTGGCAGGCAGGTTTCTTACCTGATGTGCCTGCTGTAAGACACATCGCGCGGGGGGGCTCGACACATCAGCGGCACAATGGGTTGCACGGGTCGCGAGGTGCCACGTGTATTCGATCCTGAGCCCGTGGCACTGGGATCGGCGCCGCCGCGAGCGCGCTCTCCAGGAACCGCAGGAGCCCTCGGAGGGGCCCTCTCTCTTCACGCTGTTGCCGCCACCACGGCCATTGCCGCCCCTGCTTTCCCTGGCCGTCTCATGCAGGAGGCTGAACGTAGGAGGATGAGGAGCAATCATACAAGGATTACCATGCTCAGCAGGGGGAGCGGCAAGATGATCAGGACGAAGGAGTTGGAGGAGGACGGTACCCACGTGGGACTGGGCATCACTACATGTGGTATCGGTACTTCGTCTTGGGTCAAACAGGGGCAGCGGCCGACAGTGTCGTATTTGTCCTTGGCAGCCACGCATCCACATACAACTTTGGCACACGCACACAGACACACACGCACGCCGTCTGGGTTGACTCCCGAAACCATGCATCGTCGGGAGCTGAGATGTCAGGTGTAGGGAGTAGGCCGAAACGTTGAACCAACTGTACTCTGGATTCGCCCTAGGCAAATGATGCGAACCAATCATTTGAACAAAGTCGCTACGCCCATCTGCACTTGATATACCAACATGTAAATATCCTTGTGCACATGTATATACAGACATGTATTCCTACTAGAACCACGCGTTCGCTTCGCGCGCGCTTAGGTTCCAGCGAGCCCCAGTTGGCATCGGAGGACATTGATTGTCACAAGGATCGTGCACCTCAGGGGGCTCCACCTGCGGCCCATCAGACAGGCTTGGGTCCCCAAGCCCATGCCAGCACACCCTTCACAGGCATCGCGTCCCACAAGGAGACCCACGTGATTCCATCCCCAGAGATGAGGTTCTCACAGTGGCACGCCCCTCACGAGGACCGTGCCCCGCAACCAAATGCATCTGCGGCACCAGAGGGGAGCTTCATAACATCGGCCCGCTCACTTCGGCGCACCTCTCATACGGATCGTGGCCCGCAAGGAAATCCACGGACGGCCCCAAAGACAAGGTTCGCATCCCACCGTCCCGCCTACTTCGGCACACCTCGCACACGGATCGTGATCGTGGCCCACAGGGATCTCCACCCACGGCCCCCGAAGCAAGGTTCGCACTGCGCCCCCCCCCCGGCCATGGCAGTACACCCCGTCACGTGGATCATGCCCACAAGGAGCACCATCGAATTAAAGGCTCGGAAGGTTCGAACAACGCTCCCTCCCCCCGCCCATGTCGGCACACCTGTCACGCGAATCATGCTGCAGAACGGGCATCTTTGCATGGCGCCCCCGCGCCCATTTTGGAACATGCTTGGCACGGAGCGTGCCTGGAGGAGGTCCACCTGCGGCCTCAGTGGGCGTGCTCGCGCGACCCTTCACGCGGATCGTGCCCCACAAGGAGTTCAACGCACCGTGCACGCGTGCCCCGCGGCAACCATCTTTCCGCATTGCCCCGGCCTCTTTGGCTGTCTTAAAGCGTTCCTGGCCCGTCGGACGCTGCCGGAAGTCGTTGAGGCCTGTCTTCGCCGTCTTCGAGCCCGCTTGGAGCGCTTCGTGGCTGTCTTGGAGGCAATCTCAGGCGTGTTGAGTCCTCTTGGGCCGTCTTGGGGTCCTCCTGGGGCCGTCTTTGGTGCTTCTTGGGCCGTCACGGGGCTCTCGTGGAGGCCTCTTGGGTGCTCTGGGAGCGATCTTGGGAGCCTCTTGGGCCATCTGGACCGTCAGCAGCCCGAAAAAAAAACAAATGCAAAAATCTTCAAAAACCATAGGGAAATCGATTAATTTAGCTTTTTCGGGATTTCCCAACGGTTGTCTTGGAGGCGTCTTGGCCGCCTCGGAGCCTATTTGGAGTTATTTTGATCCCATGTTGGGCCGTGTAGGGTGCATCTTGGGGCCATCGTGGGCTCTCTTGAGGCCATCTTAGCGTTCTTGCAGGCCTTTCTGAAGCCATCATGGGCCATCTTGGCCGTCTTGGAAGCCATCGAGGCCGTTTTGGACTGGGAACGGGGGGTCCTGGAACCCCGGTCCCGCCATAGAGAAATGAGGCCGGGCCCCCCTGGGGACCTGGAACTCCGGTGTTATACCTATATATGTATACACACTGGTAGAGACGCACCGCTTGGCGCATACTTGCCTGGTAAATAATCCAAGGGTGCGAATACAAAGCGTAGCGAAACTCCTCGCTGCCCCTTGAGTGAAAAGAATGAACAACAGGACATGACATTGATATTTCCGACGGGGACGCATCAGCCTGGCGCACACTTATCTGGTCGATTGCCCACGGGTGTGCACGCAAGGCGGAATGGAATAAACGATCGCCTCCGCGGTGAACAGAAAGAAGCAACACTGGCGGGGTCTCGCGCCAGAGACAAAACTGCCTCGCGCGCACTTATCGGGTCGATTGCCCAAGGATGTGCGCGCAAGGTGGAGCGACCAGCTGGACGGCCCCGAGAACGCAATTGTTCTAAGTTGTCCACGAAGGGCCCCAGCAGGCTCCGACGACCCTCCCAGCAAGGCCCTGTGGGAGGCAAAAACAACGAAGAACACATGCTGTTTCTTTTTCCCAACCATCCAATGGCGTCGGGTCTCCGTTTTGAAGAGACGGTCCCCGCGTTTCTCCCGCTTCCTTTCTCCCTCCTCCCCCTCCTCCTTCCTCCCTGCGTTTCACCTACCCAGTACAGCGTTCCGTGGCCCTATAGGGAGCTCCACCGAAGGTCCCAGTGGGACCGCCCGCATGCGCCAACCACCACGCAACACAACCCTTGCTCCTTGCGTTTCGCCCACCCAGCACAACGTTTCATGGCCCCATAGGGAGCTCCACCGAAGGTCCCACTGAGACCGCCCGCATGCGTCAACCACCACCCAGCACAGCCCTTCCTCCCTGCGATTGCACCCACCCAGTACAGCGTTTCGTGGCCCCATAGGGAGCTCCACCGAAGGTCCTAGTGGCACCGCCCGCATGCGTCAACCACCACCCAGCACAGCCATTCCTCACTGCGTTTTCAACAGCTCAGTACAGCGTTTCGTGGCCCCATAAGGAGATCCACTGAAGGTCTCAGTGGGACCGCCCGCATGCGTCAGCCATCACCCAGTGCAGCTTTTCGTGGCCCTAGTGGGAGCTCCGCCGAAGGTCCCGGTGCGACAGCCCGCATGCGTCAACCACCACCCAGCACAGCCCTTCCTCCCTGCGTTTCGTGGCCCCACAAAGAGCTCCACCGAAGGTCCTAGTGGCACCGCCCGCGTGCGTCAACCTTCCTCCCTGCGTTTCACCCACCCAGTACAACGTTTCGTGGCCCCATAGGGAGATCCACCGAAGGTCCCAGTGGGACCGCCCGCATGCGTCAACCACCACCCAGCACAGCGTTTTGTGGCCCCAGAAAGGGGCTCCACCGCAGGCCCCAGTGGCACCGCCCGCATGCGTCAGCCACCACCCAGGACAGCGTTTCGTGGCCCCATAGGGAGCTCCACCGAAGGCCCGAGTGGGATCGCCCGCATGAATCAGCCACCAACCAGCATAGCGTTTCGTGGCCCCATAGGGGGGCTCCACCGAAGGCGAGACACGGCCACAACGAAAAGACAGGAGGACGATGCCAACGCTCGCAAACCTATGATATACTGACTACGCGCGCCCTTCGGCATGCAATATGATTCCGCCTGAAGCCAAGGATGCATCCATGAATTCCCGTATCATCACAAACACCCCTACGTCTGACACTGGCACCCCGCATGTAGGTCATATAGCCACCAGACGAATCATCCCATCTAAGCTGATGATGGATGACGGTGCGCCAAGCACACCTTACCTTGACTGTCGGCACAAACACCTGTTGGCAAAGATTTTACAACCCCGCGTTGGGGTCGCAGATGTAGCGGTCCTGGTCAAAAATATTATGCAGCCCAATCAAGTGCGGATGAACAGTGGCACAAATCCCAAAGATCAGCATGATTGTCGATCTCCTTGCACTTGTGACCATTCCACTGAAGCTAACGGGCAACACAAGAATCATGCTCCAAATGCAAATGCCATCCACAACCAACTCCACACAAAACGACATGAGCCAATTCCTAAAACCACCTCTACACCCGGGATCTTACCTATGTTGAACATGCGTGGGTCGGCAAATAAAGCATAGCCAAAGCAACTATGCAACGCAACATGCTCCGAGAGCATGTCACTGGCTATGAATACGAAAAATACGTTCATATGCATCATCGCGAGGTCCAGAGAATGCGCGTGTAGGTTGTTGAAGGTGCGTGCGGCGAGTATCACGGATATGCTGTTGAGCAACACTTCAACAAACGCAGTGGTCATGATTGCGGCCATGGCCGCATCACCATCGATCAAACCAATCAGGTATCTTCGCAAAGACGTAGTAATACTGACATCATAAATGAAACAAAAGGCCCAGATTCCCAATAGCGGCAACTCGACACCCTTTAAGAAAAAACGCGCCAGAAGCCCCAATGTACGAGCGATGACGTACGTGATTGCAACTACACCTGCTGGAGTCAGACCCATGGCGCCGGGTGATAGGTTGACCACAATCGCATTGAACACGACCATCGCTGTCAAGGATCCAGCAAACACCAGCCTAGGGCATCTCGATGCAAGTCCCACTGCTGATACTCTCGCACGTACGCAATTCCAGGACAAGCGAACCAACATTGCAAACACTATTGCCAAAGTTAACGGAACGTCAAACCACTTCGGAAGCGGGTCGCTACCAATCGAGCTTGGACGTATGAATATTGGCGTTGCGATCGCTGCAAGGCCAACACCAAATAGCCCCATTTGGCAAGCGACGCTGCGCGATTGCGAATTCAAGTAAGTCATCAAGGTGCAGATTATTGCCACTTCAAAAAACTTTGGACGAGACACCTTGGCACGCACTGTGTTGTACGAAAGCACCTGCCCAAGCCGAGTTACGCTAGAATTTGTAGAGCAACTGATCCAATCGTCGATGTTAATATCGCCATCGGGAATACCAATCCGCCCAGCGTGCAAAATGACACCAACGAAAAACACAGCAAAACCAAATGACAACGTTGAGAGCACAATGGAAACACGGAGCATCTGTAACGAATCATGTGCTACACGCGAACAAA